TTTTTTTTTCCAAAATGGAAGCAGTCACCTTGCATAGGGATTATGAATCTCACTTACATGTGTGAAAATACAGACTCCGAAAAATTAAATAACTGGTCCAAAACCACCCAACTACTAAATGGTAGAACTAAGATGTAAATAAAGGTCCTTTCAAATCTCAGGCTCATTATATGGCTTTTGTAGAAAGGAAATGCCCAAGTTTTTCAGTTTTTCAAGAAGATTCAATCCAGAAAGCAAACTCTTGAAATAAATATTTCAAATGTGGGAAAATACATACTAAAAAAGGATTCAGGTTTTAAATTTATCCTAAAAGCTTCCTGAAAAATAAAAATGGTTTGGTAAATAATTGAGGCAGTGACAGTTAATAACTCTATGGAAAACTAACCATTCCTTTAATCAGATTAACATTTGATTACTAAGACAAAGCAATTGAAGATTTTTTTTTTCCTTTTTGTCATTTTTCGTGTCCGGCAACGGATCGCAACCCTCAGTATCGTGCCCATACCGGACTGGGACCGGCAACGGGATCGCAACCCTCGGTGCTGCGCCCACACCTCGCTCAGCCAGTGAGCGGGAACCGGTCTGTATGTGGGATCCGAACCCTCGGCGGGAGCGCCACCGCGCTCACAAACGGCGCACTGTAGCAGTGCGCCACTGGGCTGGCCCAAAAGGTCTAATTTTATCCCTCCCTTGCTCAAAACTCTCCCTAGGAAGCCTCTGGATTGCTAAAACTGTTCTATATCTCGACTTGGGTTGTGGTTTCATGGAAATATACATAAGCAAAAATCCATCCAGTTGATACTTAAGGTTTGCCCACTTATCTGTATGTAAGTTATGCCTCAATTAAAATGTAAATAAAAAATATAAACAAGCAATAAAACTTCCTAAAGCCCCCATCCTCTTCTGGAGTAAATCAGAACCCCTCAACCTGGCATTGGAAGTCCTGTTTTCCTCTATAGCTTCATCTTCTAAGGTCTTGTAAGCTGTGGCAAACAAATGATCAGTGTTTGTTAAATGAATGATGGCACACTGGTGTATTTCCTGCTCGCCATTTGCACTGTAGTGGACATCTCTGGTTTGTGTCTGGCTCACATCCCTGTCCCCTTTTTCTGTCAATAGTGTCTCTGCTGCCTTTGAGGACTCCTTGTGCTCCTTGTGGCTCTGATGGCAGTGCCATTCTTGTGATCCTTCTCCTTGGCAACAGGGATGAGCATGAGATCTGTGCATGACCCATCATAGCGGCCCATCCTCCTGGAAGCGTGAAGAAACTTCACCTCCTTTTACTCTCCTACTTGAAGATGGGGCCATGTCTCCCTTCTGTCTTGGAGACAAAGAAGGATGTTAACTGCTAGGCTGCCACAAACAACAAATGGCCACTGTGTGAGTCTAGTTGCTAGACTCCACTCAGACTGTGAGTTTGAGTCCCAGCTCTTGCAATTTTTTGCTGTGACAGCTAGGTCAAATTTTTTAACTTCTCTGTGCTTCAGTTTTTGCTTTTTTTTTTGTCTTTTAGTTTTTTTGTGTGTGCTTCGGTTTTTCATCTGTAAAGCTGTAATAGTACCTACCTCTTTGGGTTGAGGTGAGGATTAAATAAATATCTGAAAGTGCCTAGAACAGTACTCTCCTGCCTTGGGGCAAGCCTTTCTATGTGCCAGCTCTTGTCACTTACATAGGAGTGCCAGAGCCCAGGCATACTGGATCTTCTCAGCAACGCTATGAGGTAGACAAAGCTTGGAACATTCCCTGTACAACCCCAGTACCATGAACTGCATACAGGACACATAGTAAGTGCCTAATAATATATTTTTTAGGACTAGGGTGGGGGTTCTCCATCTCCTTCTACACCCCTCTTGTGTACTCAGCCTTACTCCAGGAGGGAGGGAGCTTATAACATAGTAATGCATCAAAGCTAAGACATGAAGATGGTCAATATTAATAAGAGTGAGGGGTTTTGGCCTTGAATACATTTTGAAGGAGATAAAAGATTGCCCATTACTGACCTGCGATGGCTCCTATGCATGGGGTGGTGGCAGGATGAATCCTGTAGTGGGGCAAGGTAGAGATGTAGACAAGGTAGGAAGGAGAGAAAGATCAGGGAGAAGAGTTGTCCAGGAGTCTTTCAAAGCAGCCTGGCAATACAAACTGAGGCAGGAACCTGAGAGGCTGCAAACTGGTGGTCTGTAGGTGGCCCCCAAAAGTGTTTTGTTGGGTCCATGCCCTGCAGTGTTTTTCCATAATTTGAATGAGTTGCTGTGGCAAGGCACTATATCTGCCTTTGCAAAATGCACCCTTACTAACAAATTCTGTCTGTGCAGCAATGTGCCTAATCCCAGGAGAGGCACTCGGCTTCCCAGGTCTGCCAGCCTTCCTTGCATCTTGGTCATGCCAGTTTGGTCAACGTGATATAAACACAAGTCTGCTGGTGGCTCTGGGAAGGCTACTGCTTTTCTTTATAGAACATGTCCTTTTCTCCTTGCAGTTGTGATGTAGGAAGCTACAACAACTGCCATCCCCTGAACATAAGAGAAGGGCCAGAAGAATCAGTGTTGGAGTGAGCAGGACTGAAGCCATGTTGGTACCTAAAACTGCATGGGTTCTAAAAGACTTTTAAAAGATACAGTTTTTTTTCTTGGCATGCATTTCTCTGAGTTCCTTCTTTTCCCATGGTTATTTAATATTTTGAACCTTAGTTATGGAGCAAGATGACATTATTTACATGAATGTAAAGTTGTTTTCCAGCCAGCCTGAAGCTGTAGACTTGCATGTACTATCCAGACGCTGGGAAACAAAGGAAGACGTCAATAAAGCTAGGCTGATTCCACCCTCCAGCAGGACCATGAGACAACAGCAGGACAGGAGCAGAAACCAGACGGAGTCTTGGCGAGACTTTGCACCTGAGACCTGGCACGAAGCCCTCGCTGCTCACGTGCCCCTCCCTCCTGCTTTTCATTTCCCACGTTTCATTCTCTCATCCCCGTCTTTAAAACCCCTCGGTAAGCCTGAGTCATTGAAATGGCTTTAGCCTGGCCATGCTCCTTCAGGTTTACTGGAGAGATGGGTTAGTCTAACATCTCTACTCATGTCACTGGTATTTCTGAATAAAAGCTCACTTCCATTTTCACCAACATTTGACCCTTAGGTTGTTTATTTTTTGTCTGAGGGCAGGCAGCCAGACCTGTATGGCTGGTATCAAATTTTGTGGAGCCTCAGCCAGGAGTTGAGCGTGTCCTGTGACAAGAGGGACCCTTGATCTGAGGCTGCTGAGACTGAGCTTTGGGCCCACAGCTACACTCCTCCAGACTTGTTTTGTGAGGAAAATAATCCTTAGTGCTCAATCCATTACAGGGCATACTTTGCTATTGTTAAGAAATGTAGTCACCAACATTAGAAAATAAAGAGACTTCACATAAAAACCCAATATAGGGATGTGGATCCCCGTGTACTGTATGTGGGGTAAGCCCAAGTAACAGTGGCATAACAATGGGGATAACAGTAGAAAGAGCCCCAGGGATTTATTGAACTAAATAGTGCTCTGAGGGGGAAGGCAAGTGCACCTCACATTGGCGGGGGCTGGAGGTAGTAGAGCTGGAGGTGGGGCCAGGTGGGGGTTGGGGACTGGCCCAGCAGCAGGACAGAGAGCAGCAGCAGCAGCAGCAGGCCCACGACTGGGGCTGGGATTAGTGGGTTCCAAGTGACCCTGGTGGAGAGGTGGAGAGTGTTTAGGGTGGGATTCAGGGAAGCCCCTGGTCTTCCACTGTCTGAATACCTTTCCTCTTTTGGAAACTCATTGGGGG